TTCATTCTAGAATGAAAGAAGCATAATTTATATTTATTTCCTAATTTTTTATGGTGATTGCGAGATCTGTCAAATCTACTGAACTTGTACAGAGATTCGTTATTGAAAATAACAGATAAAATAGTTTTTTCTTTTTTTTCTTCACATGTGAAATTTGAAAATTTTCTGATGCATAAAAGTATTTTTAATCTTAAAATAAATACTACTTTGCATGATAGACAGACAACATGCAAAAAGAAAAAAAACATTAGAAAAACATTGCTTTACAGATCCTTAACACTTAATAAAAAAAAAAACTGATATTTTGCATATGAAAGCATTGTAGTACTTACAAATAATGTACCAAATTTCATTAACATTCACTTACTAATTTAAAAGTTATAGCATGAAAACTGTAACAAGCACAAAATGATTGAGGTCAGTCCCAGGGACATATCCCGTGCCGAAAGAGTTATTTGGTAGAGATTTGTTCTTCTTCACCTTTCCTCCTATTACTTCCGGCTCTTCCAGTAGCTCAATGGTAAGTATTTTGACTTGTATACTACAAACTGCATTGCTATGTCTGTGGTAGGCGTGTCTTTAGTGCCCATTGTCCTTATTTCCACACTTGAACATTCAGTATTTCATGTCATCATTGTTCTGACTTTGGTAAGTTGGATATTTCTACGTTCTCTGTCTACGTCATTTTTAATTGGATTGTTGGTTAGATATTAGTTGGTACTTTGTTTTCTTGGTGTATTTATACAATTTGTAAGTTTGATATTAGTAATTCCTTTGAAAAAATATTGAAATGTATCTAGTCAACAGTTTGATATTAAGAGTACTTTATGTTTATCTCTGTAATAGTAATTTATGGTTATCTCTGAATCAGAGGTTCCCAAACTTTTTAGAATCGCGACCTACTATTCATGACCACAGCTTATGGCGACCCACTCAAATTTACTGGGCAAAAACATATAAAAAATATTATTTATTCATATTCACGTATTTCTAATTACATTTAAAAATTAACTACTACGTACTTTCTAATAACATTTCCTAGA